GTCTCTGTGTGCGTGTGTCTGTGGGTGTCTGTGGGTCTCTGTGTGCGTGTGTCTGTGGGTGTCTGTGGGTCTCTATTTGCGTGTGTCTGTGGGTGTCCGTGGGTGTCTGTGGGTCTCTGTGTGCGTGTGTCTGTGGGTGTCTGTGGGTCTCTGTGTGCGTGTGTCTGTGGGTGTCTGTGGGTCTCTGTGTGCGTGTGTCTGTGGGTGTCTGTGGGTCTCTGTGTGTGTGTGTCTGTGGGTGTCTGTGGGTGTCTGTGGGTGTCTGTGTGGGTGTCTGTGGGTCTCTGTGTGCGTGTGTCTGTGGGTGTCTGTGGGTGTCTGTGGGTCTCTGTGGGTGTCTGTGGGTGTCTGTGTGTGTCTGTGGGTGTCTGTGTGCGTGTCTGTGGGTGTCTGTGGGTCTCTGTGTGCGTGTGTCTGTGGGTGTTTGTGGGTGTCTGTGGGTCTCTGTGGGTGTCTGTGGGTGTCTGTGTGTGTCTGTGGGTGTCTGTGTGCGTGTCTGTGGGTGTCTGTGGGTCTCTGTGTGTGTGTGTCTGTGGGTCTCTGTGTGCGTGTCTGTGGGTGTCTGTGGGTGTCTGTGGGTGTCTGTGTGCGTGTGTCTGTGGGTCTCTGTGGGTCTCTGTGTGCGTGTCTGCGGGTGTCTGTGGGTCTCTGTGTGTGTGTGTCTGTGGGTCTCTGTGTGCGTGTCTGTGGGTGTCTGTGGGTGTCTGTGGGTGTCTGTGTGCGTGTGTCTGTGGGTCTCTGTGGGTCTCTGTGTGCGTGTCTGTGGGTGTCTGTGGGTCTCTGTGTCTGTGTCTGTGGGTGTCTGTGTGGGTGTCTGTGGGTCTCTGTGTGCGTGTGTCTGTGGGTGTCTGTGGATGTCTGTGGGTGTCTGTGGGTCTCTGTGTGCGTGTGTCTATGGGTATCTGTGGGTGTCTGTGGGTCTCTGTGTGCGTGTGTCTGTGGGTTTCTGTGGGTGTCTGTGTGCGTGTGTCTGTGGGTGTCTGTGGGTGTCTGTGGGTCTCTGTGTGCGTGTGTCTGTGGGTGTCTGTGGGTCTCTGTGTGAGTGTGTCTGTGGGTGTCTGTGTGGGTGTCTGTGGGTGTCTGTGGGTCTCTGTGTGCGTGTGTCTGTGGGTGTCTGTGGGTCTCTGTGTGCGTGTGTCTGTGGGTTTCTGTGGGTGTCTGTGTGCGTGTGTCTGTGGGTCTCTGTGTGCGTGTGTCTGTGGGTGTCTGTGTGGGTGTCTGTGGGTGTCTGTGGGTCTCTGTGTGCGTGTGTCTGTGGGTGTCTGTGGGTGTCTGTGGGTCTCTGTGTGCGTGTGTCTGTGGGTGTCTGTGTGGGTGTCTGTGGGTGTCTGTGGGTCTCTGTGTGCGTGTGTCTGTGGGTGTCTACGGGTGTCTGTGGGTCTCTGTGTGCGTGTGTCTGTGGGTGTCTGTGGGTGTCTGTGGGTCTCTGTGTGCGTGTGTCTGTGGGTGTCTGTGGGTGTCTGTGGGTCTCTGTGTGCGTGTGTCTGTGGGTGTCTGTGGGTGTCTGTGGGGTCTTGTGTGCGTGTGTCTGTGGGTGTCTGTGGGTGTCTGTGGGTTCTGTGTGCGTGTGTCTGTGGGTGTCTGTGGGTGTCTGTGGGTCTCTGTGTGCGTGTGTCTGTGGGTGTCTGTGGGTGTCTGTGGGTCTCTGTGTGCGTGTGTCTGTGGGTGTGTGGGGGTGTCTGTGGGTCTCTGTGTGCGTGTGTCTGTGGGTGTCTGTGGGTGTCTGTGGGTCTCTGTGTGCGTGTGTCTGTGGGTGTCTGTGGGTGTCTGTGGGTCTCTGTGTGCGTGTGTCTGTGGGTGTCTGTGGGTGTCTGTGGGTCTCTGTGTGCGTGTGTCTGTGGGTGTCTGTGGGTGTCTGTGGGTATCTGTGTGCGTGTGTCTGTGGGTGTCTACGGGTGTCTGTGGGTGTCTGTGGGTCTCTGTGGGTGTCTGTGGGTGTCTGTGGGTCTCTGTGGGTGTCTGTGGGTGTCTCTGTGTGCGTGGGTCTGTGGGTGTCTGTGGTGTCTGTGGGTCTCTGTGTGCATGTGTCTGTGGGTCTCTGTGGGTCTCTGTGTGGGTGTCTGTGGGTCTCTGTGGGTGTCTGTGGGTCTCTGTGTGCGTGTGTCTGTGGGTGTCTGTGGGTCTCTGTGGGTGTCTGTGGGTCTCTGTGTGCGTGTGTCTGTGGGTGTCTGTGGGTCTCTGTGGGTGTCTGTGGGTCTCTGTGTGCATGTGTCTGTGGGTCTCTGTGGGTCTCTGTGTGGGTGTCTGTGGGTCTCTGTGGGTGTCTGTGGGTCTCTGTGTGCGTGTGTCTGTGGGTGTCTGTGGGTCTCTGTGGGTGTCTGTGGGTCTCTGTGTGCGTGGTGTCTGTGGGTGTCTGTGGGTCTCTGTGGGTGTCTGTGGGTCTCTGTGTGCGTGTGTCTGTGGGTGTCTGTGGGTCTCTGTGTGCGTGTGTCTGTGGGTGTCTGTGGGTCTCTGTGTGCGTGTGTCTGTGGGTGTCTGTGGGTCTCTGTGTGCGTGTGTCTGTGGGTGTCTGTGGGTCTCTGTGTGCGTGTGTCTGTGGGTGTCTGTGGGTCTCTGTGGGTGTCTGTGGGTCTCTGTGTGCGTGTGTCTGTGGGTGTCTGTGGGTCTCTGTGGGTGTCTGTGGGTCTCTGTGTGCGTGTGTCTGTGGGTGTCTGTGGGTCTCTGTGTGCGTGTGTCTGTGGGTCTCTGTGTGCGGTGTGTCTGTGGGTCTCTGTGGGTCTCTGTGTGGGTGTCTGTGGGTCTCTGTGGGTCTCTGTGTGCGTGTGTCTGTGGGTGTCTACGGGTGCCTGTGGGTGTCTGTGGGTCTCTGTGTGCGTGTGTCTGTGGGTCTCTGTGGGTCTCTGTGTGGGTGTCTGTGGGTCTCTGTGGGTGTCTGTGGGTCTCTGTGTGCGTGTGTCTGTGGGTGTCTACGGGTGCCTGTGGGTGCCTGTGGGTGTCTGTGGGTGTTGAACTTCTTTCACACCGCACCTTAGCCAAATCGCACCAATCGCAGGCAGAGCGCGGAGTGATGGTTGCCCACCTGGGCTGAGGAATGTGCTCACTCGGCGTTGCCGTGACGGGGCCGAGTCTGTCCCAGAGGCGCACAGCCGGGCCGTTGTGTCGGGAAGTGAATTCCAGGAACGGGCAGATTCTGCGTGGAGACTCGAGGGGTTTTCAGGCTCAAAGGGAGAGGTCACGAACAAGGTCACCACTCACTCGCTCGCAGATACACACAGACACACACACAGACACAGACACACACACACACAGACACACACACACAGACAAACACACAGATACACACACAGACACACACACACAGACACACACACACAGACACACACACAGACACACACACAGACACAGACACACACACACACAGACACACACACACAGACACACACACAGATACACACACAGACACACACACACAGACACACACACACAGACACACACAGACACACACACAGATACACACACACACACACAGATACACACACACACACAGATACACACACACACACAGATACAGACACACACACACAGATACACACACACACAGACACACACACACACACACAGATACACACACAGATACACACACAGACACACAGATACACACAGATACACACAGACACACACAAACACACACAGATACACACACAGACACACACAGATACACACACAGACAAAGACACAGACAAAGACACAGATACACACAGACACACACAGACACACACAAACACACACAGACACACACAGACACACACACACAGACACACACAGACACACACACACAGACACACACACACAGACACACACACACACAGATATACACACACACACAGACACACACAGATACACACACACACAGACACACACAGACACACACACACAGATACACACACACAGATACACACACAGATACACACACACAGATATACACACAGATACACACACAGATACACACACACACAGATACACACACACACAGATACACACACACACAGATACACACACACACACAGATACACACACAGACACACACACAGACACAGATCCCCCGTGTAGCCTTAACAGACTGTAGGGGCAAGTGCTGTTAGCGAGCACCTATGAAGGCCAGCACGGCACACGAGGGGGTGGGTGGCCAGCACCACGCCCGACCGCCTTTGTCTCCCTAGTGGTACACACACAGATACACACAGACACACAGATACACACACAGATACACACACACACAGATACACACACACACACAGATACACACACACACACAGATACACACACAGACACACACATACACACACAGATACACACACACACACAGATACACACACACAACAACCGCCATTCGCCACTAAGTGGCAGTGACGTCACCACGACCCTTGTGCCAGGCCATGTGCACATTGAGGCAGCCACGTGAAGTGTCGAACGCCCGCTGGCAGGAGGTCACGGGGCAGACCCAGCAGGTGCCACGGGTCGACTGACCGAGATGACCGAGATGACTGGCTGATGCGCCACTTGTGGCCCCTACTAAAGACACACACACAGACACACACACACACAGATACACACACAGACACACACACAGACACACACACAGACACACACAGACAGACACACACACAGACACACACACAGACACACACACAGACAGACACACACACACACAGACACACACACAGATACACACACAGATACACACACACACAGACACACACAAAAGACAAAGATCCCCCGTATAGCCTGAACAGACTGTAGGGGCAAGTGCTGTTAGCGAGCACATATGAAGGCCGGAACGGTACACGAGGGGGTGGGTGGCCAGCACCACGCCCGGCCGCCTTTGTCTCCCCCAGTATATATATAGACACACTCCGACTGCACAATCAGAAAATACAAAATACTTCACCAAAATGTGTCAAGGTGCAGGTCGGTCCAGGAACCCGGCTTCAGATATCATCTCCCAACTGGGTGGTGAGATGTTGACTACCTCGCCTGGTGTACAGGTGGTCGTGGGTTCGATGCTGAGATGTTGACTACCTCGCCTGGTACACAGGAGGTCGTGGGTTCGATGTTAACTACCTCGCCTGGTGTACAGGAGGTCGTGGGTTCGATGCTGAGATGTTGACTACCTCGCCTGTTGTGCAGGAGGTCGTGGGTTCGATGTTAACTACCTCGCCTGGTGTACAGGAGGTCGTGGGTTCGATGCTGAGATGTTGACTACCTCGCCTGGTACACAGGAGGTCGTGGGTTCGATGTTAACTACCTCGCCTGGTGTACAGGAGGTCGTGGGTTCGATGCTGAGATGTTGACTACCTCGCCTGGTACACAGGAGGTCGTTGGTTCGATGTTAACTACCTCGCCTGGTGTACAGGAGGTCGTGGGTTCGATGCTGAGATGTTGACTACCTCGCCTGGTGTACAGGAGGTCGTGGGTTCGATGCTGAGATGTTGACTACCTCGCCTGGTGTACAGGAGGTCGTGGGTTCGATGCTGAGATGTTGACTACCTCGCCTGGTACACAGGAGGTCGTGGGTTCGATGCTGAGATGTTGACTACCTCGCCTGGTGTACAGGAGGTCGTGGGTTCGATGCTGAGATGTTGACTACCTCGCCTGGTACACAGGAGGCCGTGGGTTCGATGCTGAGATGTTGACTACCTCGCCTGGTACACAGGAGGCCGTGGGTTCGATGCTGAGATGTTGACTACCTCGCCTGGTACACAGGAGGCCGTGGGTTCGATGCTGAGATGTTGACTACCTCGCCTGGTACACAGGAGGCCGTGGGTTCGATGCTGAGATGTTGACTACCTCGCCTGGTGTACAGGAGGTCGTGGGTTCGATTCTGACACTAATGAGATGTTAACTACCTCTTCTGGTACACAGGAGGTCGTGGGTTCGATGCTGATATGTTGACTACCTCGCCTGGTGTACAGGAGGTCGTGGGTTCAATGTTGAGATGTTGACTACCTCGCCCGGTATACAGGAAGTCGTGGGTTCGATCCTGACCCTGACGCTGCTGCTGCTGCTGTGTATTAGGAGTCTGCATCTCTCTCCCCGTGGTGGTCGCTGCGTGGATGTTTCTCTCCGGGTCCTCCGGTTTCTCCTCCACGTTTAGAATCAACGTCACCACGAGCTCAGAGTCAATGTCAACGTGGTGGTGATGATGATGATGATATCAGACACGTGGTGATGATGATGATATCAGTCACGTGGTGATGATGATGATATCAGTCACGTGGTGGTGATGATGATGATGATATCAGCCACGTGACTGAGCTGCTGTCACTAGTGATGTCCCAGCTCGCTTCTGATACAATATCTACACAGCAGCTCAGTGGGTGCTTACACCTGGTGACACAAACTTAGTTTAGTTGTAGTGTGGGGCTCTGTGAGTATCTGTGGGTCTCTGTGGGTGTCTGTGGGTCTCTATGAGTATGGGTCTCTGTGGGTGTCTGTGGGTCTCTATGAGTATGGGTCTCTGTGGGTCTCTATGAGTATGGGTCTCTGTGGGTGTCTGTGGGTCTCTATGAGTATGGGTCTCTGTGGGTGTCTGTGGGTCTCTATGAGTATGGGTCTCTGTGGGTGTCTGTGGGTCTCTATGAGTATGGGTCTCTGTGGGTGTCTGTGGGTCTCTATGAGTATGGGTCTCTGTGGGTCTCTATGGGTCTCTATGAGTATGGGTCTCTGTGGGTCTCTATGGGTCTCTATGAGTATGGGTCTCTGTGGGTCTCTATGAGTATGGGTCTGTGTGGGTCTGTGTGGGTCTCTGTGGGTCTGTCGATGTCTCTGTGTGTCTCTATGGCTCTCTGGGTGTCTATGGGTCTCTCTCCGAGTGTGTAGAAACACACGTTTGTCAATATCTACGTCACGATATCTGCCACGTGTTTGAGCTTCCGTGACAACGGTCACTTCTGATCAAAGATCCAGGCAGCAGCAGCAGCAGCCTCAGCGGGTGCCTCTACGACGGGCGAACTCAAAAATGTATTTAAGTTTTATTTCGATGTTATCCTTGGCCTGGAATCGATCCGGCGGGCTTGTGCTCCCAGCCCAAACAGAAATGCGTAAAACCGCTCGCTCCGTCTCGCGCCGGGAGCCGACACCGAGACAAATATTGGTTTTGGTTGTGCCGTGTTGACATTTCCATTTCGCCAAATATGAACGGCGAGTGGTCTGCCTGTGTGCGAATGAACCCCCCCCCCATACACACACAGGTGTATACACACGTGAACACACACACACATCAACATGTATACAGAGTTACAGAGAGACGCATAGTTACACAGAAATGCACACATACACCCATACACACACTTATATAAGAGTTGCACACAGACACACCACACAACAACCGCCATTCACCACTAAGTGGCGGTGACGTCACCACGGCGCTTGTGCCAGGCCATGTGCACCTTGAGGCCACGTGAAGTGTTGAACGCCCGCTGGCAGGAGGTCACGGGGCAGACCCAGTTGCCACGGGTCGACTGACCGAGATGACCGAGATGACTGGCCGATGCACCACCTGTGCCTCCTACTGTGCCAACTTGCTGTGCTTTAGCCACCCGGCGTTCCGCTCGTTGTTGTGAGCGTCGCTCCTCTGCCCTCCGTTGTTGTTGGAGGGCGACTGCCTCCAACTGCCCAGTAGCGTCCTTCACGAGCCTCCTCCACAGAGGCCGATCTTGACACCGCTGGCACCAGTCATCGGCAAGTCCACTCAGCTCCACGTCCTCCTGTACCACGTCACTCCATCTATTCTCCAGCCCGTGCCGCGCCCATTTAGCCCCCTCGATCCGGCCGAACAAAAGCTGTTTAGACATGCGGTGGCTGGGCATGCGGGCTACATGACCCAGCCAACGCAGCCTTGCCTGCTGGAGGAGCTCACCGATGGGACTTTTTCCATATCTCTCAATGATTTGTGAGCTCCTCACACAATCCAGCCTGCAGGTTAAACCCCAGGCGAAGATGTTCCATTAGGGGAGTCCACGTTTCGCAAGCGTAGAGAAGGGAGGGAATGACTGTGGCCGAGAAGACCTGAAGCTTCGTGCGGAGCGACAGACCAGGTAGCTTCCACACAGCGTTACGCAACCGATGAAAAGATATTGCCGCTCGACTGATTCGGAGTGAGACCTCTGTTGTTAAACCGGAGCCGGTCATGAGCACACTGCCCAGGTATGGGAAACTCTCCACTCTCTCCACAAGTGGAGTGTCCGATGGTACAAAATACCCAGGCAGGTGCTTAGTTTTGGTGGGGCTGATGGTAAGGCCCCACCTCTTGGTGGCACGCTCCAGTCTCAGCAGCAGCGTCTCCAACTCCTCTTCTGAATGAGCAGCTATTACCAGATCATCGGTATACATAACGTGGTTGACCAATAGGGAGCCATCCCTTGACCGCACCCGGGCATCGATCAGCCTCCCATTGTATCTGTACAAGATGGAAATTCCTTCAGTACAGCAATCGAAGGCTTCACGAACTACGCGGTCGAAATAGATGTTACATAATGTGGGAGCCAGAGGACATCCCTGTCGCACCCCAAGGTGTACAGGGAAAGGCTCCGACTCCCGGCCACGTAGTTTTACCCGGGCCCGCTCACCATGATGAAGGTCCTTAATGATCGTGAGCAGAGGGTCAGGGACTCCGAAAGCACGAAGAACAACCCAGAGCCCAGGCCTACTGATGGTGTTTAGGCCTTGACCAGCTCAACACATTCCTGCAAAAGGAGCTGGTAGGAACGTTGGGTCGCTCGGTCAATGGCCTGCAGGGTCAACGGCAGCGTGGTGTATTCCGCAAATATGCCCGACTGTGAGGGCGGGCACAAGCCGGCGTGAGTAGGTGAAACGTTGAGTTTTATAAGGGCACCAGCCTCTCCCCACCCAGCCCCACCCAGCCCTTCCCACCCTCCCCTAAACACCCAGCCCCACCCTCCCCACCCAGCCTCTCCCCACCCTCCTCACCCAGCCCCTCCCTCCCCACCCAGCCCCTCCCTGCACGACGGACACAATAATCCCCTGTGGGCTGGTGTAACCAGGAGGTTCCTACCAGTATAAAGCAGAGATGTAGGTCTTGTTGAAATGCCCTACACCTCTCCTCTAGCAGACGGACAGAAAATATGGCACCTGTGCAGGACCGCCCTTTCCTGAAACCACATTGGGGCTCCGCAAGCCTCTCCTAGCGTGTCTGGCAAGGCGATGTTGAATAATAATTGGCAGGACCTTTCCCGGCACATTGAGGAGTGAGATGCCCCTGTAGTTGTTACAGTCTGTGCGGTCCCCCTTCCAGTCCTGCGGAACCCGTCCAGTGGCCCAGACTGTTGTTATGATGTCATGTAGGGCAGTCTGTGCACAAACGCCACCCTCCCTCAGCATTTCGCTTGGGAGATCATCTCTGCCCGGTGCCATTCCTGGTCTCAGACTCCCATAGACTGAACACTGCCCATAGACTTAACACTGCCATAGACTCAACACTGCCTATAGACTCAACACTGCCACCCATAGACTCAACACTGCCACCAATAGACTCAACACTGCCACCCATAGACTCAACACTGCCACCAATAGACTCAACACTGCCACCCATCAACTCAACACTGCCACCTATAGACTCAACACTGCCATAGACTCAACACTGCCCATAGACTCAACACTGCCCATAGACTCAACACTGCCCATAGACTCAACACTGCCATAGACTCAACACTGCCTATAGACTCAACACTGCCACCCATAGACTCAATACTGCCACCCATAGACTCAACACTGCCCATAGACTCAACACTGCCCATAGACTCAACACTGCCATAGACTCAACACTGCTTAGACTAACACTGCCCATAGACTCAACACTGCCCATAGACTCAACACTGCCCATAGACTCAACACTACCCATAGACTCAACACTGTCCATAGACTCAACACTGCCCATAGACTCAACACTGCCATAGACTCAACACTGCCATAGACTCAACACTGCCACTCATAGACTCAACACTGTCCATAGACTCAACACTGCCCATAGACTCAACACTGCCATAGACTCAACACTGCCATAGACTCAACACTGCCACTCATAGACTCAACACTGCCCATAGACTGAACACTGCCATAGACTCAACACTGCCACCCATAAACTCAACACTGCCATAGACTCAACACTGCCCATAGACTCAACACTGCCACCCATAGACTAACAATGCCCATAGACTCAACACTGCCATAGACTCAACACTGTCCATAGACTGAACACTGCCCATAGACTCAAAACTGCCATAGACTCAACACTGCCATAGACTCAACACTGCCTATATACCTAACACTGCCACCCATAGACCCAGCACTGCCACCCATAGACTCAACACTGCCATAGACTCAACACTGCCCATAGACTCAACACTGCCACCTATAGACTCAACACTGCCCATAGACTCAACACTGCCCATAGACTCAACACTGCCACCTATAGACTAACACTACCCATAGACTCAACACTGCCCATAGACTCAACACTGCCACCCATAGACTTAACACTGCCACCTATAGACTCAACACTGCCCATAGACTCAACACTGCCCATAGACTCAACACTGCCACCCATAGACTTAACACTGCCACCTATAGACTCAACACTGCCCATAGACTCAACACTGCCACCTATAGACTAACACTACCCATAGACTCAACACTGCACATAGACTCAACACTGCCACCCATAGACTTAACACTGCCACCTATAGACTCAACACTGCCCATAGACTCAACACTGCCCATAG